CTGTGTCTGAAGGCTGTTGTAGCAGTGTGTTTACACAGAAATGAATGAAATGTGTTGCCACGTCAGTGTGACCAGCTGTCTCCTTCAGTGACTCACAGAGGCATTTAGATTGTGTTTCAGGGTGTTTCCATTACAAAGATTTTCAGTCTTTTCCCAGGACTGAGCAGTGATACTAGCATGTGTGTTTACTAGCTTGTTCTTGCAAGGCTGCCTGAAGATTTTCAGTACTTTAAGGACTATTTTTCAGTGAAGTGGGTGTCTAAAGCTGTTTGAAATGTGAGCCCACAAACAAGACAAAAATCACCAAAATCTGCAGTCAATTTTGGAAGATTGTTGACATGCAATTTGTCAGCCCCCTGAATCCAGAGGCAGTAAGTTAAGGGCAGCTTGCTCACAGCCTACACGGGTCTCTATCTGCTCATTCATACACATGCATACTTGTATGCAAGAGAGAATGCTATCCAGCTCAAGACTTCTTTTATCTGAATAATCTCTCTCACTTCAAAGAGTCTGAAAAAAGTCTTTCTTAAGATTGCCAGCTGCATTTTTTAAGGGTCCACCTGCCAACCATGCTATCCCTTGGAGCCTGCAAAGGATTTCAAACTCAGGTGTCATGTAGTCACCTTGCTTTTGGAACCAGAGCCTACTTGCTGTGAGACAAGCACCAGCTGTGTCCTGCACAATGCAGAAAATTAAGAATGCACATTTAAACAAAATCCTTTCAAGGTGGTTGCCTGGGGACTGTATTCTTGGAAAACTTGCTTTATTTCTCTGTGATGTAGTTCCAAATGCTTAGTAGGGACAACAGTAAGACTTCACATCACAAGGATGTTGTGAAATATAGCTCTGTGTGTGAATCCCATCATCAGATGCTCTGATGAGTGCCATAAAATACCACTGTGCAAATAACAGAATGTAGATGGGGCATAGTAAAAGACATACGTCAGGTGAGGGAGCCAAAATAAAACAATAGATTTTTTATAACATAATAATTGCCAGTGATATTGGGCAGCGTTTTTAAAAAGAATCTGCAATGTAGTGGAATATTTATGTGGAATAATGGAAAAGGTTACTGAAATACTTAAGATTGTGGCATAGCAACCTCTCACAAGGAAAGTGAATAAATGTGTGTTGTTGGCTTTAATGCTGACATTCAAAGATTCCCCAATTTTTTTCATAGTTTTAAAAATCATCAAAGTAAACAATATTTTTTAAAACTTCTTATTTCATTTCTGCTATATTTTCTATTTCTACTGGAACATGCTCTATTAATGAATATATTCAGACATGTGTGTAAGTGGGAGAAGTGTTCAAAATTCTGTTCTACTCCTCCTAATCTCAGAAATGATTGAATCACAGCAGTTCCTTCATAATTTTCCTGGGTCTCAGAAACATGAAATGAACATAATCTCTCATGCTAACTTTCCTTTACCTACTACCTTCATGCTTCTGAAGGCAAAAGGAAATCACATACAGATTCTAGGTCAAGGTGCAGGTGATGTTTCCATGTTATGGAATCCAGTCTCATTTTGGAAGCAGAGTATTTCTACCTTTACAAGAATGGTTGCTGCTTGTGTTAGTTTTAATTCTGCTGAAGGCTGATGTGATTTCTTGGGCATATTTCAGATTACCTTCATCCACCCACTGTAGCCAACAGAAAAATAATTGCATGAATAATTCTGCAAAGTGAAGGTGCAGGGGAGAGAAAAGTATTCATCTGTCCTGCATTATACACTGTTTGTTTGTAACTCAGACACAAGTTTCTACTAAGATCATACATTTAAGGTATAATAGATACTATTATATACTGTGCTAAGTTTTGTTACGTTTACGTTCTGCTATTTCAGCCATGGAATCATAAATGTTTACATTTGACACTGCAATATTCATTTGCAGAGCTCAAACACTGTTCTTAAGCTAAGAAAACTTTACTACACAATATAAACAAGAGAAAAAAATGGAGTCAAAGAGATGAGATGACCTTAGAAGAAATACTGTCAAAAACAGTGATAAGGTTTGTAGATCTCTTGTGTAATGCATTTGTCCAGAAATCACAAAATAAAGAACAACAGGATGAGATGGAATATTCTGTGTTTACTTCTGTAAAATACAGAGAAAAGGCAACAAATAGATACTATTGATAAATGAAATAAGCAGATGCTTAGACATTGTTACACTTTTATAGGCATCCTGGAAGGAAACATGCATTTCAGAGGGGATTACGAAGAGGAGAAACATCCTACTTTGCAGGTGTTTAAAAAGACAAATCTTCCCAGTCATGTATAGTATCATCAGTGGAAGAGCAGACGTGTTTGAAAACAAAAGATGGAGGTTGGTGTCATGGGATGATCAGAGGTAGGAATGAATCTCAAAAACTGAATAAATATGAGAAGCAGTGAAGTGACTTGATAATTATTTTTGCACAGAAACAGATGGATATTTGAAGTTTATTTGAATATCCTCTGTTGTCAGACAACAAATAATTAACTCTCAGAATAGCATTTCCAAAACCACATCCAGTGGCTTTTGCTGAAGCATCAAGCCAACAGTAATGGGGACCTGCTAGAGGCTGGTGGCATTGCCCTGCTTCTGTTGTAATTCCAGAAAAGTTGTGCCATTCCCACCATTGCTACATTCTTCTGTCCTTGTAATGAAATTTATTCATTGATACAAAAAAATGGATGCAGTCCTCTGCTTGGAAATCTTAGGCAGGGAAGACGTCACAAACTTAGTATAAATTGAGTGCAATAGTTAATATAATTTCCTGTATAATTTAAGTCTGGTCTGATGGTCAAAAACTTTGCTACTGAGTCCCACACCCTAATCATTTTCACCTGCATACTCCACTTTTCTCTGTTTGAAACTGTGAGCAAGGGACGATCTAATCAGGAAAAAAGTTATCTACAGATTTGTCGTGGTTTAACCCCAGCCAGACAGCTTGTTCACCCACTCCCCCCTCCTTCTTGCTCTCCCCCTACTCCTGGAGAGACGGAGAGGAGAATCACAAAGAATGCAACTCCCATGGGTTGAGATAAGAACGGTTTAGTAACTAAGGTATAACACAAATCACTGCTGCTACCACCAATAATAGTAATGATAAGGGAAATAACAAGGGAAGAGAATACAACACCTCAGCACCCGCCGACCGATAACTCCCCCCCCCCAACCCCCCAAGCCTGACCAAGCACCAACCGATACGTCCTCCAACCCTGCAGCCCTCCTAGCCCTTCCGGGGAACTCCCAGTTACATCCTGGGCATGATGTGCTGTGGTATGGAATACCTCTTTGGTCAGTTTGGGTCAGGTGTCCTGTCTCTGCTTCCTCCTGGCTTCCCTCCTCCCTGGCAGAGCATGAGGCTCACAAAGCCCTTGGCCAAACCAAAACATCATTGTTTTCAGCTCTGTTCCCAGCTGAAAGTCAAAACACAGCACTGCACCAGCTACCAAGAAAGAGAAAAATGACCGCAACTGCTGAACCCAGGACAAGATTGTAGAGTCTCACTACAACACCACAAAATTTACTGTTTTCCATCAGGAAAAGAGGGAAAAAAATCTGCCCCAAAAGGGGCTTAGATACAGCTATTTGGAAAAGAAATGTTGATTTTAAAGAAAAAAAAAAAAGGAAAAAAAAGTAAAGAAAGCAAAGTCAGTTGGGAACATATTCCTTTTTCTGTGCGCCTTTTATGTTTTTTGAGACTTTTCTCATGTGATTAAATTAAAATTGTCTGGGTTGTTCAACTCTAGTATTTGACAAAAAAAAAAAAAGGCGGTTAGGCTTATTATTTCATTAAGTGATACTATAACTCCGTATATGATGAAAAATAGTCATAGAATGAAGCAAAAATAATCCACAAAACACAGCAACATTTGAATTTTTAGACTAAACCAGCCTAGACATAAAATTTTCCAAAGATGACAGATTATTTTTTTTTTCCCCCAGGTTAAAAAAAACAGAAGCATGTGCATCTTGAAAATTACTTGTTTGGTTTCTTGATCAACATAAAGCACATAAAGGAAATACAAACAGATGTTATTTGCAACAGTTATATTCTGGTTGTATATTTGTGACAGAAATGTGTGAAAAAAACAAACTCATCATGAAAAAATTAATTGAGATGACAAGTGTATTAAAAGCAAATCCTGATTATTAACATATTTTTCTTCATATTGACACACCCATCTTGTTTTCTACAGATATATGGCCAAGACATGATAAATGATCCATGTGCTCTACAGATATGTATTCTATGTTTTCATTTCACTGTCATATTTTATAGCATTATTTTCTGACTCAGATGGTAGCCAAACCCTTTGAAAACATCTCTTCTGTTCTACTGTCAAAAGTACTGATATATGTTACATACACATTACCCTCAAATTCATTGTAATCTTACTAAAGACAAAAAAAAATGCAAAACCATGAAAAAATAAATAAAATCTTCTAAAAATATACTGTAAATTTGCAAGGAAGGGTGAACATATAGGAGATAACATAAAATACCGAAACTCCCGATTTGGAAGAGAGCAGGATTTTATCAGAATTTTAAAGGAAAAGAATATTTTATCTCTTGGTAGAAAGCTGGAAACTTGTATCTAAGTTTCAAGTGGGAAAGAATGACTGAATAATGCAACTACTAATGCATACATCAGAGCCCTGAGAAAAATGTATTCTGACTGTACTTTCTCTTCTTCTACTTCCTTTTGTCTCCTTCTTTGTCAGAAATTAACTTGGGCTAGCACTCTAAGGAAAAAAATAGAAATTAGAGTTATGAAAGACAGAATTATTTGCTTGTTAGGGTAATAGGTGAGTAGTTAAAGCATTACTCTTCAGATTCATATTAAAACACTTACAGAGTCATAATCCAAAATGGTTCATAGTTGGACCTTGACAGGGCTACAGGGAAACTGTTAGAGATCTTACGCTGACAATATGCACTGAGGGCAAGGTCTTCCCAAGGCTTAGGCTGAAAGGTTTTCAAAGGTTCTGCTTTACAAGTGGATAACAGGCATTTTAAAATCATATCTGAAAAGAATTTCAAAGGAGACAAAGCACTGTGTTAAAGCATGCATTATGTATCATTCTCCTATATACTTCAGTGACTACTAAGCTTGTCTTCCTTTCCCTTGCTTCTTCCATTTTCCAGCCCAAACTAAAGTGTGACTCTCAGATTTCAGAAACAGGTTATACTTTTGTCATCTCGTATTTCTGACATCCTATTTTTGAAAAGAGACTAAATTGATCCATTAAACGTGTAAGAATGGGAATGAGAGCAAGGAGCTGCCATGTGGATACACTTTTGGACCAGGTAAGTTGCCCTTACCTTGGAAGCTAATTGGAATTAAAGGAGGGTATGTGAATTTTCCTGTGGCTATGAATCCAGGCTGCAATTAAGCTAATTTACTCATGAACAAAAATTGATCTAGAATAGCTGTTCTCTACGAAGTCCCATTCAATATCTGAAAAATAGTACTATCAACATATGACTGTTTTTAAAGGTCAAAGGGTGGTGGCCATTCAGGGCTAACACATTTTATGCTAGTGCACCATTTTTTATACTAGTGTGTTTCATAACCTAGCAATGGTAGTACTACAAACTTCTAGCAAGATCATAAACAAAAGGAAAAAAGTGTAATTGTCACTGGATCAGTGAAGACTCCCCTGAGAGTCTAAAGTATTTTTACAAAAGTCTGTATCTATTGGTGCCTGACCCATACATTTTTCTGTCGTGCAGAGTTCCAGAGGTATCCAATATAAGTGAAACAGCTTTTGTTTTTCTCCAAGCATCAGCAGACCACTGATTCCCTGCTACCACAGAGGTGACCCTGCGTAAGTGTTATACTTTCTTCAGCCCAGACTAACCATAAACCAGGTGGAATAATGTAATTTTTCCTTCTCAATTTTTATGATTAAACCTTGAGGACAAAATAATTTATATTTAAATCCATGACAGAGATTCAGATCTTTCTGAATCATGACTGTTTCTTGTACCTCTTCACTGCTTTCTACAGTGTTCAGAAAGCATGAACACATGATTTTCAAATATAGTGCCAAGGCCCCCAAAACTAGACATACATTTTTTTCAGTTGTTGCAATTATTATTAGTACTATTGTTGTTATTGAAATTTTAATTGTAAATAATTAATTTTTATTTAACTTTTTTAATAGATATTCACTTCAGGCTTCCCCATTCAAAGTAGAACCTCTCCCACTAGCACAGTGGTAAAATCAGTTTTGAAAACAAAGAACCTGATCTTAAAATATTTTGTGTGTAAAACAGAGAAGGGTGGCTATGAAAAAAATAACCCTCTCTTCAAAAGTCTGAAATGAACCTGTAATTTTCACATATTAACTATTTTCTATTAAAACAGTGATCAGAAAGACATCTTCCTATACGTTCTTTGTGTGTACTTCAAATTTATATTTATATAACCAATTATAAAAACAGTAAGCTAGAGGAAGCTTTTTTTTCTTGTTTAATAGCACAGCTTAAAATTATACACTGGTTTCTGCCACAGTTCAGCAGCAGAAATGTGGTTTATACTGGAAAAACAGAGATAGAAGAAGGAGGTGATCTAGAGCACATTTAAACTACCAGCCATTCAGCATGGGTGGGGTTTTTGTAGGTGAAGATCCCAGAGGGCTCAAGGAGAGTTCTTTGCCTCCAAGGCTATTGCATAAGACATGTACAGATATACATGGTCTAATTATTTTTTAAGTGTATAAGAAAATCCAACACTTTATGCTTTTTTTCTTTAGCAAACTAAAAGCTGGTGAACAGAGCAGAAGCAGAAAAGGAGCAATCAGCAGAGGGCCAGGCTACTTGGTGAGAGCAATCTATGCTGTACAGTTAGAACTTAATTAAATCTCTCTGGATCCTGTAAGCTTCTTTCAATAAAAGTATGTGAAAAGTGTTTAAAATACTACAGAAGCACTCACTTCAGTGCGTGTCCACACTTAAAAGGACATTTGCTGCTTTGGTTTTGGGCAAAATTCTGAAAAGAAAAGCTGTTAAGGACAAGGGTTTTGTTAACTTTATTAAATACCTACTATGTGTAAAAGCAATTGCCACATGTATATATGTAAAATATACACAGACATATATAAAATATGTAGTGAAAAAAGTAAATATGCCTATACTCCCTTGTGTTTATGCAGAGTCCTACAAATTAGTTGTGAGGATAGTAATGACTGCTGGGCTGTGTTTTCTTGAGGAATATCCAGCTTTTTGTTAGTTTTCCTCAGAAGCATTGTGGATATTTTAAAAACGGGTAGGTGTTTACACACACCGCTATCTTTAATCTCTTTTTGTTTAGTAACTGATAAGTAAATTTGTTGTGTTGTTGTTTTAGGAGTTTCTTTTAAACTTGGAAGAAAGGCAAAGAAATGTCAAGTAAGAGATACAATTTGTACAAATATCGATTAATGGCTAAGTAAGTGTCAAATGCTCATTTTATCTAGCTGCTGGCATGCTGTATTGCAATTATTCTGAGAATGAGGTGGGCACAGTAGAGCCAGTCTGAAAGCATGATAAAAAGCCAGCTTTTCCCAGGACATCCTGAGGGAAGTTTCTGTAGAAAGACCTTATCAAACATCATAGAAGATCTTACTGCATTGCAGCACTGGTGGGTCTTGTATTGTTCAGTACAATAGTCTGAATTGTTTGATAAAACCTCCCTGTAATACAGCCAAATGAGGAGTTTTACACAATTGACAAAAAAAAAGAATGGAAATCATACAAACAGAGCAGTAAGGTAGGTGTCCTGGAAAAGGATGTCTCAGAGAAAATGAGGTAGGGATTCACAGAGGATAGACAACTCAATTAGAGGTACCATTCTCATGCTGGGTCAAGAAGACCTAATGCGATCCTTAGATAAATATAGAGAAAAAGAGCTAATAGAAGGAAAGAAGTGATTTTTGCTTCTGTAATGGACCATCATATGGGAATGTAGGATTTTTGCTAACATATATGAAAAGGTGGAAAATATGAAGAGGTGCCAAAGAGAGATGCTAAAATGAGTTGAGGTATATAGAAAGTCCCTTCAGGAAGGTATGTAGAGTTTAGTCAGTTTAAATTAACAGAAAGAAGTCTGAAAAGTTAGTTGAATGCTGGACATAAGTACCTTTAAGAGCAAACACTGGAAAGTGAAGGCTCTCTAATCCATTAGAGGGGAGCAGCAAGGACTGTTGCAGACCAAACCCAGGGCAAATTAAACTTGAAACAAGGCACATCTTTTTAAAGTCATTTAAATGTACTCATTAAAAAATGAGTATTGGTAAATCACTAGACAAATGGCAAAGGGGAGTAGATTTACCGTAAAGTATTTATATCTAGAATGGGAGGCTTTTGGGTAGAGAGAGAAAAGCAGCAGATGAGCAGATTTATTTCAGGTAACCCGAGACCCTGCTGGGAGAAGGCCCTGCATAAGCCAGAAGTTCATAAAGCTTATTTCAGAAAGTAAGAGCAACAAACATCAAGGGGGAACTACAGTCTGCAGCTCTTTCTGGCCACTTTCACCTAACCCAAGCCCCAGACACACCTCTGGGTTTAGAAATCATGCCAAGAGCCTGAAGTAGGAGAGATGAAAGAGGGACAAGCTGGGAGTAGTGTACCTGGTTTTGCCATAAAGATTTGGTGCCCTGGGCAGAAAGAAGGGACAATAGACCTGTGAAATGCAGGGAAAACAAGCTGAAAGAGCGCGTTGACACCATCAGCCTTTGGCTGTGCCTGTGCTCGCAGCCCAGTGAGACTCCAGGTCCATGATATGTCTCAGTTTAGTTCTATGAGTCACTGTCACAAGGTTGCTCATACGTATGTATATAGTCCCCTATTTACTAAAAAAAGCCACAGAGCTATTGACTATCCATGAAAAGCCCAATTTCAGAGTCATTCTTCTTACCTTTAGTCATAGGCTCTCTAAGTTATGGAGGTTTTTCACATGAGCCTTTCACAGTTTTCATAAAAAATAATTTCTAAGGGACTATTCTAAATATTTTTGCATGTATATCCTAAGCTAATTTTCCTAAAATATACATACAAATGCATACAGTTATATATGGAGTATTCATAATGAAAAAACTGAAAAAATAATACCTAAAGCCTTGGATACAGTGGTGTCATCCCCTGCCTTTTGGGAAGCAAAATACATATGAAAAGAGCTAATCTTAGATCTCGAGTATTCCAAGCAGATTTCATCTTTTGGAGGGTAATCTATACTCTAATCATATTTTTTCCTTTTCTCTTAACTGCTTCTTCAGTTCCTAACTGATTTCAAGATGGACAGGTTCATATTTCTGGCAAACATAATTGTTTATGGGAAGGGGAAATACCTGGTACCAGCTGGAAGGATTCTCCCTCTGAAAATATCATTAGAAATGTAAAGATGTGACTTGAACTCCAGCATTCAAGCTTTAACCATGCACAATTTTTTCCAACAGTTTTTCTAATTGCTTATGGTTGGGTTTTTTCCCTCTAAGATCTGTATAAAACTTACATAGAGAAGGTTTCACACAACACCAGTTTGGATTTCTTTCTCAAGAAACTTTCAGTAACTATAAGTTATGGAAAACTGCTGTTGATGAGACTAGTACATGTCTTCTTACATTATTAAGACATGCTGACTTTGAGATGCTACTACCTTATTTTGATACTGTTAAATACTGAAAATACATTCCCTGAACACATCTTCTCTGAAAAAAAAACAAATTTTACCAGAAGCACTTGGATACGTCATCATGCAGAGGGTGCTTTCATGGCTTCGTGGACGTACTGCAGTTTGGGAAACCCTGCTAGGCACTCTGGATTAACATTTTTCCTGTCTATGTTGCTGAATCTTTGCTGTTATTTTTACTCATGGTACCTAAAAGCAAAGGTAACTACTTCTGCTTTTAGATTGAAAGCTCATTTCACATAAGTCAAAACTCAGATTTCAGAAGGTAACAACACATTTTAATTTTTTTCTCACTCCATTTATATTTAAACTGCAAAACTGGAAGCAGACATCATGAGAATCACTCAGGCATTAGGGGTTTCTTCATTCTTATAAAAATCATTTTCTTTTTATAAGAAAATTATTCAACTTTAAAATAAAATTAATAAATCCAACAGTGAGTGTTGAAGAAGAATTTACATCTGTGGCTGTCAGACCAGAGCCAATAGTAAAGGATTTGTCTTCATAATGTCCCTGAGTCCTTCCAGGAGGTGAAGTACAAGAACAGCTTAATACTTTCCTTCTCAAAGTGTGAGACAAAGAAACGTTATCCCAGAAGGGAACTGCAATAAACCTTCACACAGTGAAAGTGCAGTTA